CTGTTTGCTTGTGAGGATATCGCCGTCTATTTATACCACAAACATTGGGTTGAAGCAAAAAAAAAAAACGTTAGGGCTAAGGCGTGTTGATAAAATTGCATGTGAAATTGCCTTGACCGAATTTGCAACGTTAAAAAAAACTATGCTGAAACGTCAATAAAGTTCATGGATCTCACATTTTTAAAAATTGACTACATTTTAAGAGCCCGACTTTTTATTTTAGAAAGGGCTTTTATGTACCTTTCTTTCTTTGTTATATTATTTAATTTAGCATACAGATGAAGTTTTTAAAAGGAAAGAAATAAATTATTATCAACACTTTATCGAATATCATTTGTACTTATTTTATTTTCCATGTAGGGGGCATGTATGTCATATTTCTTTTTAAAAAGGTGGACACTAAGAAAAAACAAGGCGATGAAATCGGTTGTTTTAAAAATACAACTAAATGGTAACAAGCCATAAGGCAGAAAGTTTTGCCTCTTAACATTTAGCTCACCTAAAAAAACAACAAACGCACTAATAGAATAACTAGTTTTAAGCTGAATTACCACACAACGGTTTTATCTAATTCAACAAAAAAAAAACAACATATACACATACAAAGATAACCAGTAAAATTTTGAGAATCACTGGATTTGAATAAACCGACATATTTTTTAAAAAACCTGCCTGGGTGTGGGAACTCAGCTTCACACACGAATCACGTGACATGCAACGAGTAAAAACAACTCAAGCATCAAGATAAGAGCTCGGCTGTCTAGGTTATATCACCAGAGTCTTGGCCTTGAGATTTACATAACAGACTTACGAGTGTGAATATGTCAAGGCAACCTTTGACCCTGCAGTAAGAAAGTATGTCAATCTTTCGTTCCCACGATTTAAAAATGTTATTCTCAAAATAAAAGAAAAAAAAATGTGTATACCCAAACCAAAAGAAATCATACAAGGACGAGTAAGCTTAGCATTTGTATGAAAATAAAAATGTATATTTTTTTTAAAAATCATCTTTCATACCAAAATTAACTATGTGTCGATTATTATTAACTAATACTTTCTGTACTAGAAGATAGTAGCAATAACCCAAAAAACCGTCAAGTTTTAGTTCAAATTAAATATGCATAGCATTAAACCTTTACAGGATTTTTTATATTGATACTACAACAAGATTACAAACAAAGAAGATGTTTTTTTTTAAGTTCGTCAATTTTATGAACATTTTATTAAACGTACTACACATTAGATACAACTTGACTAAAGGGTTTTACTTGTATCTTGCATTTGAGAAAGTAAAATAAATATTTTAATCTTCCGTATGTGGGGCATCAGATGCCTATGTCTTTTGAATAATGCAGTTATTAACACATCTCACATGTTAGAATGCTGAGCAACATAGATTGTGTAGTATGCTATGCTTTCTTTTATTTGTTATATAATTTAATTATGCTTGTGACCTATCTCATATGTTAGTCAAAAAACTCGTCACTATATATGATACGCTGGTCACATGAGTCACCCCCACGTGTTAGGTGCTGGTCACATGACTAGCCCCTACGTTTAAATTCTAATAACATGACTCAGGTCTTCATTTCAGATCCAGATTGTGCTAGTGATCAGCTAAAATAAATAAGCTATTTCGTTAGCATCATGATTTTTAAATGTTAAATTTATATCAAAAGTTTAATCTTGATTGCATTGCTCCATAAATCAGCTACTTTATATCAGCAGTTTTACCGTAATTTTAAAGTTCTCGTGCCAGAAATCCATTGCCCTAATTGTTGCGGGAAGAAATGCAAAGTCAGTTACAGGCCTACATGTTTTTTTACCTACTCACGCGATAAAAAATTGTAATATCTCAAGGACAAGCTGTGAGTTTAGAACGTAGATCCCCACATTCTTATCTTGATGCACGTGTTGTTTTGCTCGGTTCATGCAAGACGATACCAGTGGGAAACGTTATTTTCGCGCGATGGTGCTGCAAAAATGTGTCTGGATCCAAAATGTTGGTTTCTTTTTTTTAATTATGTCTTGTGCACAAGGGTTCTCAATTTGTTTTCGATGGATTCTATTTTAGAAAATTATGTCTTGTACACAAGGGTTCTCAATTTGTTTTCGATGGATTCTATTTTAGAAAATTATGTCTTGTACACAAGGGTTCTCAATTTGTTTTTTCGATGGATTCTATTTTAGAAAATTATGTCTTGTACACAAGGGTTCTCAATTTGTTTTTGATGGATTCTATTTTAGATAATAACTTGTTGCTCGATCATCCATATGTCTTATGCACAAGGGTTCTCAATTTGTTTTCGATGGATTCTATTTTAAAAAATTATGTCTTGCGCACAAGGGTTCTCAATTTGTTTCCGATGGATTCAATTTTAGAAAATAACTTGTTGGTCGATTATCCATATGTCTTGTGCACAAGGGTTTTTAATTTGTTTTCGATGGCTTCTATTTTAGATAACAGCTTGTTGGTCGATTATATATATGTCTTGTGCACAAGGGTTCTCAATTTGTTTTCGATGGATTCAATTTTAGAAAATAACTTGTTGGTCGATTATCCATATGTCTTGTGCACAAGGGTTCTCAATTTGTTTTTGATGGATTCTATTTTAGAAAATAACTTGTTTGTCGATTATCCATATGTCTTGTGCACAAGGGTTCTCAATTTGTTTTCGATGGATTCAATTTTAGAAAATAACTTGTTGGTCGATTATCCATATGTCTTGTGCACAAGGGTTCTCAATTTGTTTTTGATGGATTCTATTTTAGATAACAACTTGGTGGTCGATTATCCATTGTAAATTTGATGGGTAGCGGTTTACAATATTTTAACAATAGAATAACTGATGGTGTTTTAGAAATACGTTTTAAAAATGTTTTCAAATGTAAACATGTATATATTTTTAAATATACAAACCCTTGTCCTAGTTTCGTCAGATCTTAATATTTCGATTATAAATTATCACCTTCCACTCTAGCCACTCCGACTGTTTTAACATGGGTTACAACAGTTATAAGTTCTGATAAGAGGTAAGGGGTTGGATTAATGCCAGTGATTAACGGAAAGTGAGATGAAAGAATATTCAACCCTGAAAATGTCGGAGGTGGAGAATTAGTTAATTATTTGAAGCAAATATTATTAGGTAGGGGGAGAGGGTCGAATAATTAATTTAAAACAAAAAAGGCATCCAGGAAAATATAAACCACCGTTTTACTCGGCATTTATAAAAACATAATGTTTATTGTTTGTCCAAGAAATCAGGCCGTAGGCTATTTAGATTTTAATTGTATTTCGAAGCAGCTAGCAGTGACGTAGCGAGGTCGGGTGTCACCCGGTGCGGCACTTAATGGTGTCACCTCCCTCCCCCAGAGGCGTAGCGACCCTTCCCGGGAAAAACTTTCAAATTCTCGATTTGCACCCCCCCCCCTCAAACTTTCGATTGCACCCACCCCTCAAACTTTCGATTTGCACCCTCCCCTCAAACTTTCGATTTCCAACCCCCCCCCCCCCCTCAAACCTTCGATTTGCACCCCCCCCCCCGTCAAACTTTCGATTTCCAGTTTAAATATGTATTTGTACTTATATATCATAATTAACCATAATTAGTAGTTCCTAGTCTCAAATGCTTAATTTGCGCTTTCGCCAAACCATAGTTGCCGAGATATGGGCCAAGAACTGCTTTTTTTCGAGGTTTTTTTACTTTTCCGGGAAATCCAGAAAGAAATTCCGGGAATTTTTTTGGCCTATGTTCATCATCAGAACTTGCTTATTAACATATTTGCTTTTGGAACTAGTCCTCGATATTGCTTCGTTGAGGAGGAGATACGACTTAAAGCTGCGGACACGCTGCGGACACACATCCATCCATCCATCCATCCATCCATCCATCCATCCATCCATCCATCCATCCATCCATCCATCCATCCATCCATCCATCCATCCATCCATCCATCCATCCATCCATCCATCCATCCATCCATCCATCCATCCATCCATCCATCCATCCATCCATCCATCCATCCATCCATCCATCCATCCATCCATCCATCCATCCATCCATCCATCCATCCATCCATCCATCCATCCATCCATCCATCCATCCATCCATCCATCCATCCATCCATCCATCCATCCATCCATCCATCCATCCATCCATCCATCCATCCATCCATCCATCCATCCATCCATCCATCCATCCATCCATCCATCCATCCATCCATCCATCCATCCATCCATCCATCCATCCATCCATCCATCCATCCATCCATCCATCCATCCATCCATCCATCCATCCATCCATCCATCCATCCATCCATCCATCCATCCATCCATCCATCCATCCATCCATCCGTCCATCCGTCCATCCGTCCATCCGTCCATCCATCCATCCGTCCATCCGTCCATCCGTCCATCCGTCCATCCGTCCATCCGTCCATCCGTCCATCCGTCCATCCATCCATCCATCCATCCATCCATCCATCCATCCATCCATCCATCCATCCATCCATCCATCCATCCATCCATCCATCCATCCATCCATCCATCCATCCATCCATCCATCCATCCATCCATCCATCCATCCATCCATCCATCCATCTATCCATAAATGACGAGTTAATAATTGCAATCCTCCAGGCAATCCTCCAGTATGGAAATTACGCTAAAAAAATTAAAATGAGTCAATTTAAAAACTATATTTATTCCTGGTGCAGAAAGTAAACAGGAAAAATAAAATAAAACCATTAATTGATTATTTTCACGCACAAAAGAAACAACATGTCAAAGAACATTTATTGCAAATAAGTGTTACTTCTGCTGCTGTCTTTCAGACACTTGTAGTCCAGAAATACGCGGCTTTACCTTGAAATCAGCTAAACAAGTGATCTTATATTTTGCATTCCCATGCAGGTTAATAGTCTTCGCTGGGGCTAGAATTGCTCAAGGTGGCATTGCAAAACATGCAGTTAGGGTGTTGACTCTCATCGAATTCCGTTTT